CTGGGAGTGGTGAGAAAGGGGGAACAGGCCAGGAAGGTTCCTCCTTGTTTTCTGACCGAGCCTCAGCAGCGCAGCCCAGTCGGGCCAAACCTAGCTTGGCCTGCTGGCGGGGCCCGGATCCAGCCTTCAGACGGGAGAAGGCGCAGTGGGGCGGGGCCCCGAGAGAGGAGAGCGGTGTTTCTGCCATCAAGGGGAACGAGTGCCCCTTGGATGAAGGGGCAGTGGACCCAATGCAGGCCAGTGGGGGTGGGTCTGTTCCAGAGGCATCAATAAGGTGTTATTTTGGCCTCTCTCTCTGCTCTGTTAAAATTAGCCTGCTGACCTTTAGTCCTCCAGCGTAAACAAGGTGTGAGGAAAGTCTGCTGTCGAGCAGCCCTTTAAAAAGCCTTTCAGACATTCTGATACCGATCGGACGTGGGGCTTCTAGGCGGTGGTGGAGGGGACTAGAAATAGCTGTAAAATCGCCACGCGAAGTCTGCTCTTTTGAATTTGCTGGCTGAGATTCCTCTCTCCCCTCCCCCTGCCCCTGCCCCTCCCCCTGCCCTTCCTAATTAACCAGGCCTCGAACCTGATGAACAACCCTCAAGTGCAGCAGCTGTAAGTACTGGCTTGGCTTTTGGGTTTTCTCTTTCTTTCTCCTTTCTTATCATTTCCCCCACCACCACCCGGTCCTCACAAAGGCTCTCCCCCTCCTCTTCTGCAGGATGTCGGGGATGATCTCGGGGGGCCAGAGTCCGATAGCGACGCCGGGAGCCAGCCCTTCCCCGAACGACCTCGCCAGCCTTATTCAAGCGTGTGTAAAAGGAACCAGGCGAGGTGGAGGGGTGGTGGTGACAGGCACTTGCACACCCTCACACCCCTCCCCGTGAGACCTCAGGGAAACCTCCCCTGCCTGGAACAGGAAAGGGAGCCCCTCCACCTGAGGCTGGCTCTTCCCCTTCCTTGCTTGCTTCATCTGCTCTTCCGAGTCGCGTAGAAGCCCTTTGCTGGTGCTGTTCGGAGCTCTCTGACCCCAATCCCCAGCCCCCTCGGTCCAGCAGCACCCGATTCGGTTGGGCTGTTACTGGGAAAGGCAAAGGCTTGCCAAGAGGGAGGGCCCGAGGGGGGGAGGGTGGCACCCTTCACACAGGTAGGGGTGTGTGATCCAAAGTGTTTGTCCAGGGGTCCTGATGCAGGACGGAGAGAATTGCTGAGGGGTGGCATTCGGACCAGAAGAGCCAGGGACAAATTCATGCATGACACATACCCCCGCCCCCCTGGTCAGAATACAGATACAAGGCCTCTCTTCCTCCACCCTGCTACCCTTTCCAGCTTGACTTTCGGCTTCTTTCATTCCACTTCTTCCTTGCCGGCAGCCGAGTTTGAAGCACCGATCCTGTCCTGCGATGGAAACGGCAGTCCCATGTGCCCAGAGGGTGGAGAGGGAAGGAGGCGGGTGTTCCTGCCTGTAGCAGCGTGTCTTGACTGCGTTGAAGCGCAAGCATCCTCCCACCTTAGCCAGAAAGACAAAACAAAAACCATAAATCTCTCGCTCGGTTTTGTTTCCTTGTTCTCTTCATCTTGCTCTTCTGTGTCTCTCACAGAGGCCAACAGTTTGCTCAGCAAATGCAGCAGCAGAACCCAGAGCTGATAGAGCAGTTGCGGAGCCAAATCCGGAGCAGGGCCCCCAGCGCCAGCAACGAAGAGCAGCAGGAGTGAGGGAACCGACAGGTGAGGCCCCCAGCCGCTGAATCGGTCCCGCTGGCCGTCCTCCTTTGGAGGCCACTTAGAACGGAGGTGGAAGGAGAGAGAGGCCTGCTGGCCAGGGGACACTCCCAACCTGGCAGGACACGATCCGAGGGGAGGGAAGAAGCCCACGGAATATTGGTGGTGGTGGCGGGTGCAAGAGAGAGGGGATGAGGGTGGTGCGGGGCAGATTTGGGTTGTGGGAAGGGAAGGCGGCAGGAAAAAAAGAGCGAAGCCTTCCGGGGGACCGAGAGCAGAGCGAGCAAGAGGGTTGGCATGCCGAGCGGGAAGGGTCCCGCTTGTATGACCCTGGCAGTCACACCGGCAGTCTTGACCTGGTCTCGCGACCAGCATCACCAGAGTTTTAATCTCGAGTAAGTGCGTCTGCCTTTCCGTCTCCCCATTAGGGTCGTTCTTTGCTGGGGAGACGATCCTTCGCTGCAGGAGAAAAGGAAGGAGGAAGGAAAGAAGGAAAGGCGGGGGAGCCCAGCTTGTGTCTCGCCGTTCTCCAGCTGGGAAGGAAAAACCCAAGAGGGACAGATGGGGGAGGGAGGGAGGGAGGGAGGGAGGAAGGGCGTGGGGATGAGCCCCACTTGTCCAACCTGCATGTTAGAGACTGTTCCGCGTCATTTCCCCCCCCCCCCAAAATACATAACCCCAGCCCATGCTCTACTCTCTCTGCTGCCTGGCAAGCTGTTCAGCACCAACCAGCATTGACCCGATGGCCTGCCAAGGATTGGGGCCCCTTACCAGAGATGAACTGGGTCCCCCCCTTCCGCCGCCGTGGAGGAAACGCAACACTCATTTCTCAGAAGAATGTTCCACGACGAATCCAGAGAACATCCCACCCATGAGAGGAGAGAGCTGCGGCTTCCGAAAAGACATGTTATTTTCGCCCTCTCCCCTACCCCACCTTTCCTCGCCCTGCAGGGCCTTCTCCCTCGCCATCTGGAGAAGAGTTCGCTGTTCGTTTGTGGCTTTTGTACCCTTTGCTGACTCTGGATCCCACAAGCAGGGATCCGAGGGTTGAAGGACATTTCCCCCGAGTTATTTCTTTGGTCGCGCTGCTGAGGCTGCCGGGCGCGTGTCACGGAGCAGCAGAGAGCAGACCCTGATTGAAGGATTTTGCTTTATTTTGGAGTGATCATGTATGTAGGCGGGAGGGGAAGTTGACCCTAGAATAGGACAAAAATGTTTTTTTGGGGGGGGTATGTTTGCAAATTGGACTCTTCTGCCCCCTCTCAACTAGGAACTGTCTTTCTCTCTCCTTTTTTAAGCCCTTGGCAAGCATGACTTGACAGTTGCGCTCTCTGTAAGCTCGTTGGGTGGATGGTGTGGTGGGACTTGACTGCCGGTCATCTTGGTTTTTTAAAGTGTTTCTAATTTGAGCTTTGGGTTTCTTTGCTTCCTGGGGAATTGGGGCCACCACGCGTGATGCCGATGCTTGAGGAGACCCACCGGGGGTGTGTGTGTGACATGCTTGAGTTGCCTTCACTACAAGGGAAAGCTGGGCCGGGCAAATGACACTTCCACGGTGGGGGTTCTCTGGGTGGGGGGCGAGGAAGAGGGCCAGGAAGTGCGTTGGCCACCTTTTCTGCGACAACTGTTTGGGCCCCCTTTCTGCTCTCCATTTGGGCCCCACTGGATCCCCCCCTCCTTTCTCTGCCCTTCAGAAAGCAGAGCATGGAAAGGGCCCGTGTGTGTGTGTGTGTGTGTGTGTGTGTGTGTGTGTGTGTGTGTGTGTGAGAGAGAGAGAGAGAGAGAGAGAGA